TTTTTTCCAGCTTCTGACAAAGACTACTGGTTCCTTAGTATTCCAAAGCACTGGGTGGGGCATATATTTTCAAAGCTTTTTTACAGCTATGGCCTAAACCCATTTAAAGACAAAACTCACGGCCAAAGAGTCGATTAGGACCCATTGCGACCTCCTAGGACAGGGTGGAACTAACTTGCTCCTGTGTGTTTCTGAGACTGCAATCCTTCACAGGACGAGAAAGCCTCATCTTTCTCCTGCAGACCAGCTGGTGGTTTTGAACTGCTAACCCTGTGCTTAGCAGCCCAATGCCCACCCCATGGGCCACCAGGGCTCCTTCTATAAAGATCAACCACTGCCATCGAGTAGCTGCCGACTCACAGCAACTCTAAGGGCAGGGTAGAAGTGGCCCTGTGGGTTTGAGACAGTTCTCTTTACAAGAGTAGAAAGAACCCGTCTTTCTACCAAGGAGAGAGGCTGGTGGTTTCAAACTGCTGATCTTGCAGATGGCAGCCCCAAATCGTCACCAGGACACCCAACCACCTAGAAAAACCCTGCGGGGCAGTTCCACCCTGTGACACACGGGGGCGCCACGAATGAAGCCATGAGCCCATGATCCAAAAACAGTCACCCCTTGGAGTCCATGCCTGTGGCGACCCTACAGGTCAGGGCAGAGCTGCCCCTGTGGGTCTCCGAGACCGCAACTGTTTAAGGTGGTAGAAAGCCCGTCTTTCTCCTTCGACTGAACGGTAGCTACGAACACCGAACCAGAACTCCGGTGCTCCCAAACCAGCATGAAGGCCAAGAAAACCGAATGGAGCCGTTTCATCGGGTGACACAAGTCGAAATCAACCCTCCCGCCCTGAGTATTTGTTCTTGTGCTTCTATGGATGTTGTGTGTGTGAGACAGAAAAGAGATGGGTTCCCCAGGCCCAGAATTGCTTTTATTTATTTATTTAATTATTTTTCCAGAATTGCTTTTAATTGCCTCCAGCCTCCCCCACTTCTGGACAACAGAAGATCCCTTTGTTTGCAGCAGTGAAAGCGGGAGTGGCTCCCCTCTTCGGAGGCCCTTGGCAAGTTCTCGGTCTGGAGCCTGCTCAACAAAACAGCATTCAGGAGCTTGCCCTGGCCAGCCTTTTGCGCGCTAAGAGCCCAGTGGGCTCTCAGCCAGCCCTGAGACCACGGGGGCGGGGAGCTTGGAAAGGGACCTGGCCCGGGCCCCGTGGGCTCAGGTAGGGCTTCCTGGAAAAACACACCTGGGTTGAGATAGTTTCAAGAAATAAAATCACAACTCTCATAATCACTGCCATCGAGTGCAATCAATGCCAACTCATTAGCCACCCCAGAGGACAGGGTAGAACTGCCCTGCGAGGTTGTAACTATTTATGGGAGTAAAAAGTCCTGTCTTTTTATCTCCTGCGGGGGGGGGAAAAAAAGTAGTCCAGCCCCCTACACATTATACATCAGCTTGCGGGGTTCTGGGTGCGCGCGCAGTCCAGCCAGCTTCGATCCCTAATGCTTTTGCCCCCTGGGAATAAGGGGCCTCCATTCTCGCCGGGTCCCACGTTCCCCAACGAGCGCCCAGACGTAAAGGGATGCCCAAGGTCAATTCCGTTGGGTTATTAGCCTGCTCGCCTCCCCGCCCCCCAGCCTGTACCATTCGGGCCCGGGGAGGGGGCAACTGGGTGGAAACGCGCCAAGGGTGCCTTCTGAGGACCCTCTCCATCTAGACCGTCTCTTCCAAGGCCCCTCTCCGCCAGGGCACGAGACAGAGGGCGTCCGCGGAGGGGCCACAGAGCCCCCCTCGTCCCGCGAGTCTGGGCTCGCTCCCTTGGATCCCCCCCTCCGCCGAAGAGTTGGTTCGCTCCGAGGATCGGCCACTTCGCCCTGGGTATTGAGGTTGGGCTGGCGCCGTCCGCGCTCCCGATCCGGTGGTGTCCGTGGCCAGCGGATGCCCCTGTCCCGAGCCATGGCTCTCGCCGTCCGAGTCGTGTATTGGTGAGTGGCTCGCCCTAATCCTCCTAGGTCATCCGGTCGTAGAGCTGCCTTTGGGGGG